AACTCCATCCTAGACCGCTCCAGCCACGTTCCCTTTCGAAGACCGATTTCTTGCCGACACTGTCGGGCACTACGCCTCTACCTGTCATTTGGTGGCCATTGTTGCATAGACGTTGCTGATGGATCACTCCGTGGCTTTGCAAAAACGCATTGCCATCTCCTTGTCATGAACGAGAGTTGAAAGCCTCAGAAAGTTCATTTAATGTTTCACGTTCGAACGAATAAAATTTTTACACAAACCTAGGCTAGATGTGGATAAGGAATCGTTTTCATCAAAAGTAGGTCAAGCTTGTGTGCGTACACTAAATTGGAGCTGACAAAAAGTGGGGCAGTGAAGCTAACCTAAGCTGAAAAGCCTATAAGTACCGTACAGGTGCATGCATATTCGTAATCAACTACTCATAAGGTTGCTGAAAATTATTCGACAGCCCGTGACCGGTTTCGCCTCACTTGGAGCCCATCAGGTAGGCACAGTCCCCGAGTTTCCGTCAACCTTATGTTCTACGCGAACCCAAATCGTACGAAGTTTGCAAAGTACACTCACATACATACTGCCAATTTGGTTTTCACACGAGACTCAACTGAATCCCCCAAAAAGGCCCACGCACGGCCAACTGGCGGTGTGATTAGCTCATACTTGGATAGAATACAGTGCCTTTAATGCTCCAGTTACCCTGGAGTCTCGTGAGATGCACACTACTGGTGATGCCCAATCAAGATTGAATGGCTGTACAGTGATTGTAAGCTTTTGAGCACAGATTTGATCCACTTACAAAACGAAGTATCTACCCAAGTCTAACACTGCCCAAGACGGGGCAACGCTTTCCACAATCTCGTCATTGTGAACCCTTTGCCAAAAACGACACGGAATATTTTCGGCCGGTCTCTCTTTCCTGGTGCCTCTGCGCGTCAGCTACGAGTTTCATCTTTGAAACAAGGCGTCAGCTACAGGCCAATAGCCTTGAAGTCAAGATAAATAACCCTTTGAGAACTTGAAAAGAGCATTCTTGGTCCCGAAGATTGGCCAACAGTCTTGATAGCGTGTCGAATCCAAGAAAGGTGGAGCGCATTGACTTCGTGAAAACGATTGGACTACCCGGTTGCCCCACAAGTCACTGTGTTTTCGCCTATCCGTTGGTGTCGGACAAATGTGTGGCTACTCGTCAAATTGGTCAGGCAAGTGCCAGGCGGCCGTTCACTAACCAATTCTCACGACGATCATCCCTGCTGTCTGTTTGTTTGGCGTTAATTTCACCTCCCCTGATGGTGCCCGGTTTCTCAAGTGTTGAAAAGCAAACATAGGACAAAGAATAACGGCAGACGAAGGTGAGCAGCGCGTAAAACGATCTGCGATGAAGTACAGTTCAGTGTGTCCAAGAAGGTAGTACTGGAAGACGCGCCAAGTTTTGCAGCAGCTGCGCTGCACGAGATGACCCATGCATTAATACACACTGCTTAGCCGGTCCCAGTGTGTATACCATGAAATCGAGCTTTGCAAGGAATCCTTTACAGTCAATCCTCGGTCGAAATTGCTGTGTTTCCAAGATTTTTACGCGTATGTTCCGGGCAAAACTGAAACTGTGGTGCCTCCTACCCAATCGCAAAAGACATCCCTTTTGGTTACTCACTTGAAACCTCAGTTAACCTTTAGGACTCTCTCCAAAGTTGGTCGCCTTGGGGACACCTTGTGTTGCCTATAAACAAGAGTGTGCGATGGTTGGTGGAAAAGATCTGTAAGCATCTCGTCCTTCTATTCTGGTCACCGTCAACGACCATTTGTGAAGTTGAAATCCTACAAGCACTATCTGGCTTTCATCTGAATTGGATCGTGCATACCAGATGAACAAGAAAACACTCCGACAACTTGGCCAAGGTCAGTCAGCCGTGGGATTAGCGGAATTAAACTCGCACCTCCAACGCAGCCAGTGAAACTGATTGAAATGGCAAAACAGTTGCTTGCCTCTGTGAATAAAACAGGATCAACGCGACCCGAACACTCCGTGTTTACGTGCATCTACAAGTCTGGTCACACGACGGCCGAGAAAAATCGATAATCTACCAGTCAATCGGAAGTAAGCGATCGAACTGAAAATGGCAACCAGTGTAGCCGGCGGCAAAACGAACAGTCCTCACACGTCACACCGCTATCTGTACGGGGACCGTTCTCTGCGGGCGAAGCGAAAATCACGTGCCTAAGCTATCCAATGCACGTGATCAATCGCAATCCGCTAGGAATCAGCTGTTACGGAACGAGCAAAATGTAGCGGTGGTTTTGGTAGTATACAAACGAAACAAAATGCGGATATGCGAGGAGGAACTGCCACGTCATTACGGGGAATGAGTTGAGCGAACGCAATACTGCTGGTTCTTTTTTTTCAAGAGCAAGTGTCTAAACTCAAAGTTTCTTCGAAGACAAAGCCAACAGACAGGTAATCGTCCCTGAGTTGAAACAAGTCTCCTGTAAGTTCATGGTAAACAGAGGTGGACAAAAAGCGATTCCATCCATGAATGTCTAACCAATTTCCTCCAACAATGAAATTACACCAATCCCACGATAGTGTCATTTACCCGGATCAACAGGCAACTGTTGCCTACCGAATTGGAGACTAGGCGACAACCAGCTTTCCTCATCCATGGTCGGAGATACTTCCATCTTTCCAGCTCATCGACAAACGAAACTGTGGCAACTCTAACCGCTGGACATGCACATCTAATGATGTTGATTCGGGGAATCTTGCGGTGTGTCTTAGATCCTAAAAGATATGCCATGGAAAGCCCAGCGATTCAGTTTCTGCCTCTATGTCACTTGTGGTACCTCCACAGTTGTGCAGTTGTGTAATCTGTTCTCAAAAGAAGGGTGAAAAATAGGGTGTCCCCACACCTTCAAATATCCGGTCGGATAATTTGGGCGAAACCAGATTGCGGCTCAAATTCTAGCTAACAGGAATCCAAGCAAATGAAACCTGTTGTGTCGTGACTTTTGATCAGTGACCACTCCATGAAGCATCGAAAAACCAAGCTGTGGTCTAACTAGACCCCAGTCCTGTACCAAATTCAGCCTCACAGTTCACATATAAAACGTGGCGAGCGGTGTTACCTAAACCCTGCTCCTGAGTGAAAACATCTGTCCAATCCAACACACGTTAGAGTACAAAGCGTTTTTTTAGACGACTGTGCTGAACTGATTTAGTGTTCTATGTTCTAGACCTTGGTGTGCAACGCTGGCGACCCAGGTTGTTCCGACAAACCGATACAGTGTTTATTGGACGGGCTGTAAGAAAGATGCATTACTCATTTTAGTTCAGACAATGTATGCTGACAACTCAAAAGTAAGTGACTTTAACCAGAACATCACTCAAGAAAACACCTAACCAGGTGAAACAACGTCAAGCCGCTAATCCGGCTGTTTCACTCGTCAGCGGAAGGTTGAGATTCGACGGTCAGTCAGAGGACAACTTTCACGAAACCACATGCAAAAAGCTTTGTTCCTACTCCTACGTGTATGAATCATCGCATAGTCGACAGATGGCGCAAACAACGACAGTCGTTCTTGGATGTGGGTATGAAAAAAGCTGTTCTCACATTCCCAGGATGTCACATTGGTCGGAAAAAGTCTAGCAGAGAGCACCAACTCTTCCTTTCAGAGAAATAGGGCTTTTGGTGCCGGGCTACTAGAGATGAGTTCCGGTGACCAGCCGGATGTTTGGCTCTCATGTATTTTGAGTGTGGGCTTGACTTCGTTTCAACGGTAGGACAGCACAGCACGCGCAGTGCTGTGATAAGTTAGTGAGTCATCTTGAAACGGAAGTCCTTAGAGCTCAAACTTCTCTAAAAAAATGCCTGCCTGCAGGCCGAGCAGTTTGAAGATTTCCTTTATGAAAATATACTGCGATATCTCGAATATCGAGCCAACTGAATCATGAGGCGGCCTGTGTGCAGCATATTTAGTTGTACAATATCATAAACGGGAGATTTAGTTGAGTCTCTCGTGAAAACCAAATTGACTTGCAAATGAGTGCATTCCTCGAAAACTTCAAACAACTTATAATTTTGTGATGGGGAGAATCGAGCTTCCATCGATTATTGTCTTTGTGATTAAAACAGTTTGTTTCGGCCTATCAGTAGGGTCACGTGAGCAGAACCCAACATATTTAACTATTGTGCTTGCCTTTGGGTCTTGTCGACATCCAGTGAACCATAGCCAGATACAAATACTACATGCATTTTCTCGCTTGATCGATTCGGTGTACTGCGGTGCAAGTAGGGTGCTACCGCACTGATACCAAGGGTAATACACTACTCAAAAGGTTGCTGAAAATTCCATGACAAACCACGATCGCTTTCGCCCTTCTTGGGGCTCATCAGGTAGGCGTAGTCCATTCATAAACAAGAACTTCAGTCGGGTTCCACGTCAGTCGCCCACGAAACCAAATTTATTTGCAAATGAGTGCATTTTGCCTATATCAAGGCTATTTTTGAAGAAGGGAAAGCTTACTTGGTCCCAAAGGTAAAAAAAACTTCACTTTCTGACAAGTATCTCCCCTATGGCAAACGAAATTATAAGATATGACAAAATTCGAACTGAGCTGAGTCAACTATCTTGCAGAACGATGGTTTTTATGTGTGAAAACCACCAGCGAACGAGACTGGGGATTCAGACGACCAGGGGAGAGATGGCTCAGTGGTTAGAGAGCGGGTTTACCGACCGGAAGGTCCGCGGTTCAAACCGGACCTTTGCCTCTCGACTTCCTCTGTCCAGGCTTAGGCAGTATCCCAGCCCTCATGCTTCCTTCGAGTGGCATGGCAGCTAGGCAATGAAAGGGTGTTACAGCTGGACGTTTTTTCTATCCAAACGACCAAACATAATCAGAAGCCACTCCCGGGTTCGAATCCTACACAGAACGACGCACCGCCAACTCCCTACGCACTGATGACATCATCTGAGTTGGTGAGGAAACGTTTGCAACCGAACTGTATAGCTCAGCGTTAAGGAAAGTGACGATTTAGTGGGATTTTTGACACGTAAGCAAAATTTATTCAACGTTCCCGGTTGACTAAAGCGAGCTATCACAGACGTCTTAATTTGAGGACAGTTCGCCAGCAGAAATCTTACCTCGGTCTGGAGGGAGCTGACAGAAACTCGAAAACTACACTGAAGTGAATGGCTCCAAGAAGGACTAAACCGGTGATGGACTTGTCGAGAAAAAAGTACCACTTATTTAGCAAACTGCTCTTAAACCACAAGGGCGATTTGTCGGGTTTCGATCTCATTTCATACCCTCTGAACGTGGGTGGATATCGATTGCACAAAATTCGTGGTTGATTGCGACAGCGTGTCCACGTGACAAACAGCGCTGGACAAAAGTTGGATTCCGTGAACATTTCACAAATTCAAATTCAAATTTCGTGGAGGCTGGAAAGAAGCACCTTGGATCTGACAGGTTGGAGCATTTTAACCGGCTTGTGAGGCAGTTTATAAATAGCAGGTCAGTCTCTTTGAGGTTGTCGAATTTGTACGCAGTTCAATGTTCGTCCTCCACTACTTGCGACGCGAACACACTTTCGCCCACCATTTCGAGTTCCACTTAAAATCGATCTCTGTCCAAAACTCGGACAGTGCGACATCGGGTCGAAACACAACAGCCCACCTTCCTTCGAAACGACTGCGCACATCTGTTCCAATTCACAGGCCAAAGCGCGACAAAATCAAACGGCGTCTACAGACAACAAAGTAAAACTCCCGAGACGCGTAACGGAAGAATGGATTGGAGAGAATTACGAGTGGGAACGAGGCACGCTACCCGTGTAGCGGTGATACTACTGATGGCGAGGCACGCGAGTAGTATGTGTTGTTCGTAGAATTTCGCTTTGCGTCTATTGAAAAAGTGAGATCTGTTGTGGAATTCGTGGGGCCACTTTGTAACATTTGCTTGGATTTTACCGACGAATGAATCTCCAGGAAAGTTTAAGATGACTCGTTCGGGAGAAGATCAGTGTCCAGTTTTTGTAACTAGGATGCAGATTAGAGTTTTGCTTCCCTGTTCAATGGTCTGTAACCGGTCAGTTTGCATTTCCGAATAAAAAAATACACAGCGAAGGCCTTCTTCGTTTCACCCGTAAGGTTGATGAAACCTGTTCGACAGCCCACGACCACTTTCAGCCTTCTTGTGGCTCACCAGATAGAAGAACTCCATAAACGAAAGATCAATCTGCGAAAACCAAAGTGGTAGGAAACTTCTGACGCGCGATAACTTGTTAAATTACACTACCAGAAAAACCAAGCCCTGGCCATACTTCACGTTTGGTGAAGATTGTTCAACGCGTCACCTACGTGCCAGAGCGTCAGAGCGATGCAATTTTCAGGACCATATGCTGCTCACTCTGAACAACTAAAAGAATGTCCGACAGAAACCAACGAGGCCACGTAGCGAACGATGAGTCGAAGGACCTAAACGAGAATCTACAGTTGCGGGACACTTGGTAGTTTTAGCAACTTGCAACTGGGTTGTTTACCGTGCGAAATATTCATAAGGCTACTGGGTCCATCACTGATAAATCATACATAGTGCTGGTTCTTTTAACAGGAGATTAGAGGAACGTCTGGAGAGTGAAAACGCGCGTTTAAAAGTGTGCAACTACGGGAAGATTACAAATGTAGTACATTCAACAGAGCGGCATGGAGAATGTCCACCAAGCGTTGTGTAAGCAGTTTTGAGACACAAACTCTTTCAATGCTGAAGAATTGAGGCTTTCGGAAGGGGTTAAATTTCTTCAACGCAGCCTCGACAGCATCTACCATACTAATCCCAACTTTGTGGATCACCAGCGTGCACACCGATCCACTTACTTTCTAATGACTGCCGCCAGACTTTGACACTCTAAGAACGACGAACCCACTAGTCGCGCGGTTAATTTTGATATCAACAACTTCTACTCTCTCCTCGTGATGGTGCTATACCGGAGGAACTGTGGTATTACGTTTACATCGGCACCAGGAATTGTGTGTAGAACACATTCGGCTGTTCTCTGGAAGTCTCCGAGGATACGATTGCTTATAATCACACATCGCATTTGTCTATGACTCGCGAAGGTCTACCGGCAAGTCGAACGATTGGCAGGCGATTAGCACTTGCACTACTAACCAGGAGGATGCGAGTTGGTGAGTTTCAAAGAGGATCAAACATCTGTAGAGTGCTTCCGATCAAGTTCACTTACAGGACGACAGGAACTTGACCTTGTTCAACTTTCTTTGGTGTCGACTCCCACGGTGCTCACATGTTTAATCGATTGTACATGTTGTTCCTGCGAGTAAGCACAGTTGCAGGGCTGCTGAGCGACCAGTTCCATATCGCTAGGCGAAAAAATCATAATAGGAGGGGAGATTACACAATGGTATCGGGATGAATGTATCGACTCGACGTGCTGTTTGCAATCACCCTACGTATTTTTGGTCAAAATGACTGGAAAGACCTTGAACAGGATTGGAAAGCCATGGTTTCACACTCGAAAGGTTATCGCCATGTTGACCGGTAATTTTGAGTTGCTGTGAACAGTTTGAACAGTGAAATCAGTGGTTAACAGGTCAAATGCATCCGAAGTAGACAACTGTCCTCCTGTACGTAAAATCAATCTATGCTGAGAAGCCGGAAAGCATTGGACATCTGTTTCATCCTTATTGGAAATCAACAGCAGTGCTCATCTCTTGAGACTACCTGGAGTTTCGAACCCGGTGGTTGAACATTTGATCGTTCGGTCATGAGCATCTGATCAGAATTTTGACTAGCTCTCACTTAGATGTGACAGTATTTGTGTATCGAGCATACGCCCTGGACGTACAGAGTTCTTTGTTGCAGGCTTTTCGGATAATTATCGTATCTCTCCGCGGGTGCCTTTCTTCAGGGAACCACGGTTGATGGCTGAATTGCCAGCTTCATTCAGCTCTGTTGCCAAACAGTGACAGCCCAAAACCACCAGCCGAGAAAGACAAAGACATCCATCTGATTTCCGCACAGAACATCACATCAGCATCGAACCAGATCCTAGCAAACGCTCGGAAAAAATATAAGGCTCTGACTACCTAACCCGGCAGTGAATTAGATCCTTTCGGGGGAGTGTTGTGATACCTGAGCACAAGAAATGTTTAAGCGGCTAACCGAAAACTTCTTAAATAAACGTTGACTTTTCATATCCCTTCGAAATGCGAAAATCTGGAACACCATAGCGCGAAATTCCATTCACAAGTCGAGAACTTTCTTCTTCACTATGGTGTAACCAGACATCCGTTCATGAGCAATGCTCAGAATCAGTTCTCGTGTTTCAGAAAGAGCCGCAGTTAACTTCTCGTATACGATCGTTAATCACGCTACATGTTCCACACCTCACCAACGATCCGCGCGTCACTAGAATGAGATCAGAAATTAGTCGGGCACACCAATCACATCGCTCAAGTGTGAACGCGTTGGCCTGTTCAGACGTGAAAATTCATATTCGTCCAACATGCGTTGATGGAGTAGTGGTTACACGCTCGCCTCGCATGTCAGATGTCCGGGGTTCAAATCCCGGCGCGGCCATTGGATATGCACTGCTGATGAACTCTAATAAGAGCGAAACTCGAGTCCAGCGCTTCCCTTTGGTGTGAACTCACAGGAATACTTCTGCCAGAACAGGAGGATGACCGTTCAAACGATAGAGGTGTGGCTTTGAATAAAATGAGATCCTCTGAACAAGAGGTCGAAGAAGATGATCCTACAATTAATTAGCATCTTCGAAAACGAAAAATACGAAAAATACCGTTCATGGTTCCTACGAAAATGCTTGAAAATTGGCTTCTCGCGCCAAATCATAATGAAAAACAGATAACCGTGTGATAATTTCGCCCCCTAAATTCCCTAGGCTTTCGGTTTAGGTTTCGTCTATCCGTTGAACGAAACGAACGAGAATGCAATGAATCGCACAAAAGTTGTTATCTTAACTGGAAAGGAATTATCACGCGGCGTATGTTTTTGTCCTGAATGCTATGGTTGAAGGTCAACTGAGGCAGCATGAGGGTTTCAACGGAGTCGACCGATCTGCTGGGGAGCGAAGACAGTTAATCGATTGGAGCATTACCAGAAACATTGGACAAATTCAAGGCCAACGTTCGATAACTTCTGCTTGCCTTTTACAACTACAGGGAAAAGCGCCAAAAAGCCTTGCGCGGATTATGAATTCATCCTCCTCCAACGGGTGTCAATAAATGGGCAGCTGTGAACACCATTCATGTCCTGTTGAATATTAGCCAACTATTGAGAAGCTACTTCAGGAAGACAGCTCGGTGCTCAACAATCGCTTCAAAGAAGAACGACCTTTGAAGCACGAAAGCGACAGGGTAATCATCATCACTGGCAGTAACACCACTGTGACAACACTTCACTGCAGCCTGTTCCCTAAAAACGTAAAATTCCACGGCGATCTTACCTCAACCACCGCTTTTTGGCAAAAGGCTTTTGTTGAGGGCCACGATCATCCTCTTGTTTAAGTCTGGGTGCCCTGAAAGTACCCGAGGCCGCGTACAGTTGTGAGTGGTTTATGCGTTGAGCTGGGCAATTTGACTGTAAACGTTTCATCAACAATCGAGATGACGTCATCCCTGCGTCGTTAGGGAGCGTAGCGATGGTTCGGTGGTTGCGTGTGTGTTAATATGCTTGTCGTTAGCCGAGGCGGACTTTCGATCATGATTGGCTGTTCGGTCAGGCAGCTCCATTAGTTATCCTGTGTCCTGATGGGTCGGTGACATTTGAGCCTAGTCTCTCTCGTATTGTGGTTGGTGCTGGAGCGACCTATGTCCTTGACCTCTCTGTATTCCAGTTTGTAATATTTGGTGGTCTAACTCCAAGGAGTTCCTTGTATCTTGGTTTGTTAACCCAATTTCTAGCTCTCTTTGAGTATCGCGGTTGAGAAACTGAAATCGGCAATCGAGATTGTTCAGCTGTAACACCCTTTCGGTGCCTAGCTGCCATGACACCCGAAGGAAGCACGAGGGCTGGGATAGTGTCCGGTTGCCTGAGCCTAGACAGGGGAAGTCGAGAGGCAGAGATCGGCTTCGAACCACGGACTTTCCGGGCAGTAAATAGGCACTCCAACCACTTGGTCTATTTTGAGAAACTGGCCTTCTGCACGTGTTGGTGCGTAGTTCAATGCGTCGGTTGATCATGTCCGTCGTGGGGTAACATGCTCCCGGGAATTCCCTTCCGTAAAATGTACAATTACAGACGACCAGTGGCATGGTATTCGAAATCAGGTCTCCATAAACTTACCATCGCATTCTTCGCCCGCAGTTCTTGCTCCAATCGATTAATTTTTGAAAGGTGCGTTTCTTGGTCTTCTTGAGCCGCTCTGACCATACGATACTGTGTGTCCAAACCACGGACCAGTTCGAGATTGGCACGCTCCAATTTGCCCAACTCAGTTTCGCGTTGATGTAGCTTGCGGAGCATATGATCCATTTCAACTGGGCGGGAAGAAATTAAGAGATCAGCGTTCAAACTTCCATTCCGCTCAGAAAGTATCAAACTTGGAGAAATACAGTGTCCTTTAAAAGTATAACTTCTATCTATCCCATATCAGAACAAAAACTGCCCGTAAAAGTCGTAGACCCGATCAATGCAACAGTCATCTCGTTTGTAGGTAACTTGCAAACAAAGGAAACCAGCCCACGAGGGCCTCCTATCTGAGAAGTTGTCATTCGTGGTATTGAGGTGAGTGACCAATGGATGAGTGGCATTTTATCCTGTCCCAGTGTACGTTATTCATACTAGCGATCAACCGAACGGTATAGCCGGTTCAACTGCTAGCCGCAAGGTCGCGACTTCGGGTCCCCTCGAAGATTTTCAAAAATTACTCTTCCGATGACTGTTCAGTCATACGATGTCAAATTTCCAGTGCAGTGGGAAGCCCAAAATTTAATTTGTGACTGAAAAGAGTTGTTTGTCAGTTCATGTATGGCAAAAAATGATCGTCGGGTACGGTTAAAATGACAGAGTATAAAATTTCTTATTGATTTTATCAATGAAAGACTAGGCATTATTATGATAGCAGCTTCGGTCCACAAACAGATCAAACCAGGAAGATGTAAGAACAAGTTGACTGTGGGAAGGAAAAAGAGAAATTCGCCGTCTGAAAGAAAATGAAATTGAGTAGTATAATGACTGTGAGTAGTTGTACTCAAATTTGGGCCACTCGTTTTCCATAAAGAGTGGTGAGGCCCGGAGAAAATCGAGCTTTCAAGGGTTAAGATGATAGTTGATCAACTTTTCCCGTCCACGACTGCTTTCTGAACAAGAAAATATTCTTTAATCACGAGGTAGTCACTCGACTCGGTCTTAGAGATCTAAAGGCACTGCAGTGTAGTTCTTGACCAACGCTCCAAGTACCCACTGGCTCATATAGGTTCTCAAATTCTTTAAGGAACTGGGAACACTTTGAAAAAATATAAATTTGAACCTTTTAGTAGTGTTTTTCACAAAAGTGCGGGAAAAAAAGCCACAAACCTTGAGAAAAACGCTCTATCGCCTTTCTTATTTCTTCCGTTTTTACTGGTTCGCCATCCAGCCTAGCCAGGGTACGCAGATGAAAGAGCGTAAACAGACGGTAAATCGTTTAAACAGCGGTAAATCGATGAACGACTGTCCTGCTGGAATTGTGCGTCCAGCGGGCGGGACAATTCGGATTCACTGTCGTTGTTGTCACTGCTCGCAGTCATTACCAAGTCTTCAACGGCTGGATTGCCATGAAACGAGAATGATGTCAAGCTGTCCAGTCCACGAAGACGTAACAGCTGATGAAGCTAAAGAGGGGTATGAGAAAGATGGGACAGCGAGTCAGGTATTGAACACGGTCACAATCATCGACTTCATTTAAACTATCCGTTAGGTAGCCTTTCACGCAGCTGGAGCAGGTCAGGTGGCCGTCAAGCAACCCGAAGGAAGCACAATATTAGGTTAACTAGACAAGATCAACCGGGAATTCTGCGATAAACTCGAACAACGGACCTTCAGACCTCCAGGTCGAGCGTTATTCAGTGAGTGGTTCCGATTCCGTAGTAAAATCGGGTACTTGGTGTATAGTAACGACGCCTAGTAACAACGTACGTCCTCGAGGAAGACAATGGACTCATTTCAGCGGAACAAGTAAAATCACGTTGGATACAGTTATATTCGGCCAATCAGTCACGTGATCGACGCTGCTCGTCGACAACCTGATGTGAAATCATATCACGTGGACTTAATGGTGAATCACAGGGTTCACGTCAGAAGAGATTCTCCTAGATTCATTACGGCTCGAGATTAATTCGTTGATCAGAAGGTCCGTATTTCGAACCCGATCTCGACTGCACCCGTCTGGGTTTGGGCAACCTGGCAGTATCTTAGCTCTCGTGCCTCCTTGGGGTGGCGTGGCAGCGAGGCACCGAAAAATTGTCAAAGCTGAAAACTCGTTTTGTACACCCACAGTAAGCAGCAAGGCTCATCTCACAACTTCTTCGTTACNTTATCAGGCAGGTCAAGGATATCAACGCTACAGTGCCCTTTCCACTACCAGGAACGCGAAATCAGGCCATTGAGCTGAGCACTTTGAGCAACAGTTCAGTCATTTACATGCTGTTTTATACAGGAATGGCCTATGTGCAACAAGAAACTACCCGTGAATACGGGGCCTCCTTTGTCCGTAAAAGGAAAGTCTCCAACTTCAACCAGCTTCTGGTCTGAGTGATATCCAACGTGCTCCGTTCAAGGACAGCAGTGAGATTTGTCTGACTTGTTTGTGTCTGCCTGATGGACGGCATCCAATCACTAGAGTGAGCCGACTATTCTACAAAAGACAACCATAGTCCCGTTTCTAGCGTCACTAATTTTCGTCATTTTAAGAGGCAAGCGAGACGTTGAACCGTGAACAATGGGTGGAATTACAACTTAGTGTAGGGTGCACCAAGGACACATTTGAACTCCGGCAGGTGCTATTGGTAACCTCCGATCCTTGTGACGGCTTGATTCCTCAGATCGGGCGTCCTGAATGAGTGTTTGCGAAGGCAATTGCTTGCGAAGGCAATTGCAAGTAAAAAACAGTGGAGTATGGAGATAGAAAATCGCTCCTGGTTGCGTGACGCTACTTTAACAGTTGATCTGACGAGTATTTGTCAGAATATGGCATGGTAGAAGGGACGATGGGTGCTGTTCGGCTTCCAGGATAGGGTCCACATCACCCATCCTGTGCTTGGATGGAGATACTGAGCGATATGTGTTTCATGGTGTCCGTTTCTAGTGATAGTTCGGCCCTAGATCTCCCGCCTTGTTCCATTTATTCTTCTTTCGATTGCAGTAAATCACCAGTGCTCTCCCTCTGTCGATGGTGACGATGACATTGGCGGTGGTGCCTCCTTGTCATATAACCGCCTAGACGACAGGTTCAAGAACAGCCAATGCTCCTTGTTACGTTTCTCATAATCTGACCCCAGCTGGAGCTGTTCACCGAGGGATACCTTCCAGTCACAGCCTATCCCAGTAAACAAGGCAAGAAGAGGTCATGGGTCAGCTGGGACACTGCTAATCCCATGCGCTCACGTCACGCGCAAAATGCATCAAGGGTACCGACAATCACCACCAAATAACCTTCTCTCGTTTGTATTGCCTAAACGGCTATGATTCACAGCTGCAAAGCAAAACTGAGCGCAATACTTCGTTGTAACCCCCCACCCTCCGCCAACAGACCAATGTCACGTCGATCCCATACGTACCTAAACTGAAGGAAAGGACCTTAGTGATTCCAGCATTCAGTTCATCAGAAATGCCGTCATCTGACATGATACAACCATCCAGATAGACAATCCATTCACTGCATCTCCTGACGCATTGACCAGCTTTAGTGGTGTACTCAGCGAATTTCGTAAAAACATTGCTCTTATGCAGCCCAAACGCCCATTATTCAGACTATTTAGTGTATCTTGTGGCTGAATGAGGTCCAAACCAAGTAGTTTAATACTGTTTACATACGTCGAGTGGTTGAGGTCTTTACAAGGTAGAAAATTTATTCAAAAGGCAGAATAATTTGAATGCCAACGTGTAACCCCTACGGACTCCACTTTAAGTAGCTAACTCAAAAACATACTTGCCGTAGGATCCCAGGTGCCTTGAAGCTTTGATCATGAGAACTGGAGAGCGTGATAAAAATGTCCGGCGTGTATTTAAAAAGGAGACACTGGCATAAAGCAGCGCGTTCGACTGAATCGAATGCTGTTTTCAGGTCTCAGCAGACAGGAATTGTTAGCTCTTTGTACGCGAGACGGTGATCGAGAAGTAGTCTTAAAGTAAATAAGTGGTCATTGAGTTTACGACCAAGATGGACCGATTGCTAGGAAAGCCGTACAGGATGATGCTTTTGGGGGACAAGGAAGCGACAGTGACTAAGCGGAAATCTTGGTGATTCTCACGTTCAGATCGAACATCGCTTGTTCTTTTTTGAAAAGCAGGACGTAAGTTGTTTTATATTCCTCTGGCACTTAATTCGTCCTTCAGATGCACTGTATTTCTGACTGAACCAATCGTTTTCCACAATCCTTAAATAATCCAGGGCGAAGAAATTCGAGACTGTGTGCTCCAAAAGTTCGATTTCGTTTGATCTAGCAGTTCACGTCACACTCTGAATCCAGTGATGTGTTATACGTTACACTGAGCACTTCAAACCAGCTAACTTGTCTATTAGATTGCTTCGCTGATTGAAGTGGGTGGCGGGATGTAAATGGGGTCTTCTGACCATCTAGTTCTGTGATGACGTTTAAGCCACGGTTGCGGAGCAAAAGTAAAACTATTTTCAATCACCACCGCCCTTTCGATTTCATAAGCTTGCCTAAGACACGGCTTGTCCCACGCAATTTCGAGATTGCGAGTCAGGCGTCGTTTCAGAATTATTCTTCTGGTTGTCGGCCTGTGGGACCACTTTCTCACCTCCGTCAGAAACATCGATCATTGTGAGATACACCATGAATTGAGCGGCGGCCTCGTTTTAGGACACACCCAGTCAGACACCAAAATCATAGCATTCCGAAATTCAGACTAGTTTAATTTGTTAACTGGCTTCCTCTGCGTTTAAAAGCTACTAAAGACAGGCTTCGTTGATGACCAGGTCTCACAAATAGTAAATTTTACAGTGGCAAATGATCCATTTGGATCCTAAAAAGCGACCTACAACACGGACACGAGCCAAAGTACGAGTTGGTTTCATATACGTGTTTCAAGAGAAATGAAGATCTTGCACACAAGACTGCCACTTATAGCGAACTGATACGTGGCCAACCTAAGTGTCAGATCGGTTGCGATTTGAAGAGCACCAGATAACGTGAAGCCCACGATTGTACCGAAGGTGCTTGCAATAAGCAGTTGATGATCAGCCCGCAGCCGCAAAAAAACGTTCCCCCTGTTGGTTATGGGAACACCGACACCAAATTTCTCTCGGAGATGGCTTGTCTTTTCTTTTCAAAGTGGAAACTAAAATTGCGAGCCACAATTTTGATATTGGAGTGGTTGGCGAACCACACTGCAGATAGGCTCGCTCGCAGGCCTATTTGCGCCAAATGCTATAAATCTTCTAATTTGGCATCTATACCTCATCCCGCACAGATACGCCTGTCTACAAGTGCGCAGAGCGTCACTAATATCAACCGCTAAAGTCCGTTGATTCTTATTACTCAATCTTCTTGCCAAAGAACAAACCTGTACATTAGTATAGCTGTCTCGGATTGTAGCACTTGTAAACTGCTCTTTTTCTTGCTCAGTATCATCTTCCTTTTTCCCATCATTATCAGTCACAGCGCTGTACAAAAAGTTTGTTTTACTGAAATACAACAGCTACCGCCCGCTCGTTGGCTCCAACGTGACTTTGAGACTTTTACTGAGTGACTGTTGTTGTGACCGCCGGTTGGCTATATTTGACCGCTGCTAACACTAAACGTGAACAAACATTTCAGCTACAAACACTGGACTAATATATTCACGCTTGTGTAATAATATTTCCATCACCGGAGATCTGGGATACCAGGAAGATAGAAATATTCTTGGTGTGGTGGTTCAACGGAATACGCAACTACGGAATCTCCTATTTTGAACTGTGAGTTAGGATTTACTCGTATTTTTCTCTTTGTGACTTTGTATCTGGCTTACATCAGTAATTTGTTCACTTCACTAGAGACTCCATAGGGCCGTTAACCACTACAGGATGATAGTGAAAATCACTTTCCCTGACTGTAAAATATTGAGTGCGTCGCCAACACGTACGAATGGGGCTTGCGCTGAAGCTGAAGCCGCGGGCCAGTAAATCGTCACACCCGCTTCTTTTCTTTTGACTGGTAATATATGTCCTCCTCAAACTTATGTATAACACTTAGTTTTACACAGTCACTACAGCAGATGGTCTGTCAACACTGTTTTGTGAGCCTTACAGGCAAGCTACTGCAATAATTTACAGGATATCTTTGTTCTTTAACTGAATTTGCACACTTTCACGGGTTGTCTCGCTTGTGGCGTTCAAAAACTAGAGTGTTCTCCCCCTTGATCTTCCATCCATAGCCCAATCAATATATCATATTTCTGGCCTTTATTCTTCAACAGCCAGCCAATATTTCAACTTTTGGAACTTCGGTCCACCGTAGCGACTCAAAAAATTCAAAGGAGAATGAAGACATAGGTAGTAAAGAAAATGACGTTTTTAAACGTTGGAAGAAAAAAGTACCGACTAAGGCACGTGGCTAAGAGAACACGGCGACAGACGAGTTTACTATGGCCTAAAATACTTATCTAAGCCTGTGCTTAAGAACTGCACAGTTAAGCTGGTCAGTTTAATACTGAAGAGGCTTTAATACACCGGCTAATTTGTACAGGCAATCAAAATTGAAGATGAGGCCTTTACAATTTGAAAATTTTTGCAGTCGAACGGCCAGAATTATCCTGGACTGTCGTATTCAGAATGTTCGGCTTTAGATCCTTTGATAGAAAGCCCAGGCACCGAGGGAGAATCATGCCTTCCGTGTGTTCCTAGTGAACGACGAACAGGAGTTCATTGACATGGCCTTTGGTGTCAAGACTCAGTCTTGGTTACCAGGTGCACTTTGCATTTCGCGTTGTCAAACACAGTCATAGACACGACAAAATGACAGTAAATTTATGTTGAATGCTACGGTCGTCGCCTCCGAAAGATGAAGTCCAAGGGTCTCCGGTTATCCTGGGAACAAACAGAGACCTCCAAAAATACCAAGCAGAAAAAGCAAGGGAGTATACTATTTACACGTACCGAATTTATTCGATTTTCCGCAAGGTTAAGAGTTTTCAGAGAAACTAAACAATGTTTGATCCAAGGCGGGATGCTCGATATTTGATTTCCCCGCAAGTTCAATGTCTGAAATTGTAGAAGCAGTTAAAATAACGTACCAGCAATCCAGTCAAAGTCTGCAAACCATCCATAGACGAGATCAGATTATAAGCCAGATCCAGATGGCTTAAATGTGAAAGACATTCCAAGTTCGATATTTTGGAGATGCAGTTGTGTGATAAGTTTAACTTGCGGAGATTCGGGACCAGTTTGAGATTTTCAATCAGCTGCAATTTTCTTATTATGACAGCATAAACAAACCCTAATTTTATATTGCCTGTCTTTACCAGAAATACTGAGTTTTGTGGAGGAGTAAGGGTTCTCTCCCGCATATTTTTTGATGAGGTTTTCCGTCATATAAATTGCAGACCATGAATCTGAATCCGATTATTTTGCATATCATCAACTACTGTACCTTGCAATGAGCCCCGACTATCCATCTTGGACGCCGGGACCTTCAAACCACGCGCCAAGGTCACTTTAGCTGCAAGTAGAAGAAGTTGAGTGCTTTTAAATAATTTAGTTCACGGATTGCTACCCAGGATCGAGGTTTTGCCCAAGTGTCCCAGGTCGGCTTTGATCTTGTCGTCCAGCGAGTGCCATTCAGCTGAAAGGCATAGGTGAAGAAGGGTATAACACTCCACTTTGGGTCCTCAGTGTGGGGGAGTAAGCTTGCCGGCGCGTGGATTCTGATGGTAATTGTTTGATAATGCTTTGAACTGGGTCCTAGAAGAAGTTTGGACAACCATCAAGGAAGGTTCTTCCATGCAGCCACTACCCAAAACAAGAAACAAATATCACCTAATGTAAGTGTGCACTTGAAGCCTGGAAATGTTCTTACTATGTCCCCGCCGTAAGTTTGCCAGGTAAACCGTGAAAAACCTGCTGGTCATGCCTTGTTCAAGCTGGGCATAAGAAAGAATTAAGCACCTCGGAGGCGACGATAATCCGGGGGAAAGAGGTCAAGCACCGCGAGACGAGTTACGTAGTCCTCAGATTTAAGGCCGGCAACCATTTTCGTAGCGGCTTGCCGGACACACTCGATTAGTGCTACATCCTTCGTGCGTCCTGAGTAGACAACTTGGTTGGCATACATAAGAAGCAGTCCAGCGTAGGTCCTATAGACCATTAGGAATTCCATGCAAGTAATACCGGAGAAGGTGCACTGAATCATCCGTAAAATGGCGAATGTCTTTTGGGCCGATTGCTCATGGTTCGGTGTAAAGGACATGTCTGAAGATAACCAGATAATCAAATCCTTTTTGGCATCAATCCTCGTGTTGTCTTCTGGTCCATTCTCATCACATTCTCTGAGTTTCCGTCGAATGGCATATGAGCGCACTTTTCGTCATTCAGAGGAAGGTGCTAGTCCAAAGATCAGTGCCTCGCGTCGTCTGCATTTGGTTGGAGCAATCCAGGATTTCGATTCGTCCGCAAAATGTAGATATGGACTAGCAAGAATATCTGAAAGATCATTGATGTGTATCGTGTAGTAGTCCCAGAACTGAACCTTTGGGAACTCCAACAAAGCTCAGCGCCGTAAATGAGTAGGTTGAGCCAACTTTCATTCAGGATTCGCTTTCTAATAGAAACGCCTTAATCCAATGTTGAATTTCCTTCCAACCTTCGGGAACTCCAACAAAGCTCGGCGCCGTAGATGAGTAGGTTGAGCCAAGTTTCATTCAGGATTCGCTTTCTAATGGAAACGCCTTAATCCAATGTTGAATTTCCCCTCGAATCCCATGAAACCTAAGTTTGTGAAGCGGCTAAACGGGAAGGACTTATTCGAATGATCCTAAGAAGTCTAAAATTACGACACACGCTATGAATACCTCTTCCTGGGCCTGGGTTAATCTGTCCATAAGTAGGAACATGTTGGTCACGCAAGACAAGGTTTGGGAGATATCAAGCTGTCGGTAATAAATTGATCTAGGATTGCTCGCTTCAGAATACATTCCATCACCTTGCACGGTACGCTAGTTTGTCTAACATGTCAGTAGCTACCGGGCGATAGTCGGCCACCTGTTTTGTATATTGGTGTGACAATCGCTTCCTTCCAAGCAGTGGGTAGGTGGCCCTTGTCGAGCCACTGATTAGGCAACACGCAGAAGTGTTTTAACAATCTGAACGACGTCTCATTCAGGATTCTTGGCTGGACCTCATCTGGCCCTAACGCGCAGAAGGGGTTGATCTTTTCCAAGAGTCAAAAAATGCCCTCCACCGCAAAGACTACGTCGGCCAAAAGCCGTTTATATTTACGCCGTTCCGCAACGCGCAAAACAGGACTGTAGTGCTTGAGGGCGAAAGTTGACGCCCGCTCATGCGCATATTTATCGGTTCACTTTCAATGTAAGTTACCAGCTCAGCTTCCAGTTAACCAGTCCTATCCGGTGATAAACTGACTCTACGGGTTCCCTTATTTACAGGGTGAAATTCGGCCAGTCGAAGTCCAGATTCGCGCAGAATCATCCGATAATGCGAATGCTTCCACAACATGTTAGCCTATTCGGTGATCTGCGAAAAGGTTAGTGAACAGGCACTTCAGTGCATTCTTGTCCAGTTTATATCAGTAGGCTGCACGGTGAAGTTTCGAAGCTTGCAGGAATAATATAAAATCCTTCCATCTTTCAACGCACTTACAATAAATGACAATTAAACAGAGACAAGTGTTCAGAACAGTTTCAAAAGAATAGCCGTGGTCTTTCAGGTCGACATAAAATCCCAACAGGATATTTTGTGCAGATGCTAGTACTCTTTTTGGCCTTGGCTCCCCTGGTGATGCGCAGCCCAATGATAGCCTCTGAGCACTTTGAAAACAAACCTTTATCGCCAGAGGCCCAGTCAACTCCCCTCCGCTCGTTTTGAATCCGCTTTAGGTCCATGCACTATCTCAAACGCAATCCCCGGTAGTCCAATATTCCCTAACTTGTCTAAGATTTTTTGGGAGATGATGAACTTTTTATGATTCAGACCTGTCTCCCAATTAAAGTGGGATCGTATAAATTAAGGAAATTGTCTTGTGCTACCCACTATCAGCGCATACTCCGTAACGATGTAGCATGGATATTCCAAGGAGGTTAGAGACCCAAATTGATGAATGTCCACGACCAACCACCAACCAATCGCTACGCACCATTACGCTCCCCAACAGCGTACTGATGATGTCACCTTGATTGGTGAAGTTTCCTCTGCAGTCAAACAGCTCACCTCAGTGAAGAAACCAACCACCAGCTACACCTTCCGAGCTACCAACATTTTCCTCTGAAGATGTGTTTTGGCAAAATGTTATTCCCTTGAATCTGGACACAATATGCTTCCACACTAGAAGCCCATCTAATCCACAAAACTTGGAATCAGACATGAAATGCGTTTTAGTGGCTTGATTAGATTCTCTTGTCACTTGGTTACTATTCTAAAATAAAAACAGCATACCTGAACCCCGTCTCGCTCTCTGTTTATCTTGTTCTTGTTGTCTTTAATGATACGTACGTTCGAACAGCAGAGGCGCTTGCCTCGAAATTTCTATCCACTTGTAAACATGAGCTTAGAATCCGATTTTCCTGACATCCGCTCGCCACCCAGAATACTTTTTATTTTTAGCAGAGGGAGAATCTAGCCGACTTGAAGTTAACCAAGACGCTTCCACCACTTGGCTTGTGCATACAGTCTAATACAGGTACCTTCTGAACCATTCGGCCAATCCGTTCTTAAGCCAACCCAATACAATACAAAAGTGTACGGTTATTTCTACCTACCTTTAGATGATTGGTCGCACTATGGCTTGATGTGTTTAACTGCAGCTGCTTTCTAAAATGGTTCCGCGTTTGTAGACCCCTGAGGGCTGTCCTTTTATGATCACAAATTCCGCGGAAAATCTTTGCGAAAGGCAGATGCCCAATTTCGTCCTGACTTTGGGTAAAATCTCGAACATTATTAGCTCTCGTTGACGGTTTGTGCAAATGCAAGTCCCCGCGTCCCTGACGCTTCCATCGACAGTCGTAGGATTGGATATGAACTCAGCTCGGGTGAGCTTTCGAAAGGTGAGGGGTTCTTGTTACTGGTCAGTTTGCTCTGTTTGCAACCCTCCGTTACACTCTTCAACAATCTGACTGCTGGCAGCGGCTGTTGGGTTTTGGAAGAGTTCGGACCGACGTCTGTCTACCGTTTTATTTTTTGCCCTGTCTTTACCAGGCAACAATACCACCGCCAATGTTTTGCTTCGCGGAAGCAATCAATCTGCCCTCCGTTACACTCTTCAACAATGTGACTGCTCGCAGCGGCTGTTGGGTTTTGGAAGTGTTTGAACCGACGTCTGTCTACTGCTTTATTTTTTGCCCTGTCTTTAACAGGCGACAATACCACCGCCAATGTTTTGCTTCGCGGAAGCAATCTCTCCCCAAGATTTTATGAAGCTTCATCGAAAACAAATTCAACCTAATGCATTAGTTGTGAATTATGTCGATTCAAACGCTAAGTTTGCATTGCCGTTGAATAGCTGTGTTTATGATTACTCACACCGCTCTAGGAAGCCATTCTCTTCATGGGTTCAAGTCAAGCTGTTGGGGCACTAGGATCCATTATCAGATGGTTTTGGGTTTCCTAGTTATAAGACGTCGTCCGAGAATTTGCAATCACTGAATCAAAATTGTGTCGACTCCCTCATTTTTTGGTAATAAGAAACCATTGGATAAACATCAGATGGTGTGTTTGGGTAGCTTTCAGACTATGACTTGATTTGAAGACAGCGAAAACCACATGGCACCCAGTATGCCTTGAGAATGACTATGCCCATTAGGTGTGAAACGCTTCTCACGCTTCTCAAAGCACTCTTGCTTACCAGAAAAATATTGCTGGTGACTGAGTTTGGTTCTGAGTTTGGGGCGCAGCAGCCGTAGTTTAAGTGTCTGTACCTTACCGTAGCTCCACTTACAATACGCGTTCATAACGACGGCGTCACCACACCCCCACCTCCCTCTACCGGCTCTACGGAATTTTTTTTCTCAAAGCTCCAGTTGTTGGTAGAGGTTCTCGACTGTAGCAACGCCTCTTTGCCTGCCGCCATTGTATTGCTAAGGGTTTTGGATTTTGAATT